GAATTACTCAAATTCCGTGGCACATCAAAAAATATATCATACTTTTTGATAATCTGACACAAAATAATAGGTATAATGTTGATTCATTTACCAAAAAAGATAATAGTAATTACCCACTCTTTTGGCTCCAAAGTGACTTGTTAAAAAAGCAGGTGCCTATACTTGTACACCTTGTTAAAAAAGCAGGTGCCTATACTTGTACACAAGAATTTCTGATACCCGGAATTAACCTATCAGACACAAACTTATACAACATGACCAAGATGCAATTCTATTATATGACTTATATATTTATGGTTCAAGACACAACATTCACACCAGACGGCTATTGTTATGTTGGCTATCATTTTTTAATTTCACAATAAAAGAAAAAAGAGGTCCAAGTGCCCCTGACTAGCCAGGTATTGCATGTTTTAAAAATTCTTGCGGGACACCAGTTGAAAATCGTTGGGGAAGAGGGTAAACAGAAACGAAACTGCAGGAACTATCCAAATTACCCCTCATATGTCAGACAAATGTTCAATTTACAAAAAGCATTTCTGTACAGAAAGAATTTAAGAGTTTAGTGTTACAGAAGTAGCAATGCAGAATTACAGAAACAGTCACAAGTGGGGAGAGAGTTCTAAAAAGAGTATATAATAACGTATGGTGCAAGAAACTTTATAAAGCTTCATTTTATACTCTTTCATCCTGTTGGAATTATTTCCACATGCCTATAATACTTTCATTAAAATATTTACTGGACAATGTAGAATACCGTATCTTTTATAACTTTACAATCAGAGTATTTCCCTTGTCATTGAGAGTAAAAGCCATAATCCTTATAATAGGCTATTCCACATGCCCCATCCTACCTCATTTCCTATTTCTCTGCCCCACTGCCCCATCACCACATACCATTCAGTCCACCTTGCAGTTTCCAGAGCACACCAGGCATGAGCCTGCCTGAGTGACTTGCATTGGCTGTTTTTTTCTATATGCAATGCTCTTCCCCAGATAACTGTGTGGCTCACTCTTTCACTATCTCAAATGTATGCTCAATGTCATCTTTTCAATGAGCCTTCTTTGACCATCTAATTTAAAACTGTAACCCCCACCTCTTGTACACCCTAACCTTCTCTTTATTTCCATAGCACTAATCACCTTCTAATATATTATAACACCTACTTATTTAATTGCTCATGCCTGCCAGACTATAAGCTCCCTAAGAGCAGGGAAGGTTCTCTTTTGTTCACTGCTGTATCCCTAGCTCTTAGAGATATAAATTGCACACACAAGTGTACAATTAATGAATAGAATGAATGAATAAATAAGATCAATAATACCTTAACAAATGACCAAAAAAAGGACAAAGGCCTCATTTTATATTTGGTTCAATATGAAACATCATATCTCAATACAGCTGGAGGGGAAAAAGTTAAGGTGTGGTCTAAGGGGGGGCCCTAAATCCAATGACTGGTGTCTACAGGAGAGACAGGAGAGGGAGATTAAATACAGAGACACAGGGAAGAAGGCCATGTGAAGACAGTGACAGAGATTGGAGTTACACTGCCACAAGCTAAGGAATACCGGAGGTCATCAGAAGCTGGTCAAGGCAAGGAAGGACTCTTCCCTAGAGCCCTCAAAGAAAGCCTGGCTCTGCTAGACCTTGATTTCAGACCTCTAGCCTCCAGAACTGTGACAGAGTACATTTCTGTTGTTTTAAACTACAAAGTACCAGTTTGTAACTCTTTCCTATGGCAACTGTAGGAAACTAATACATCTTGAAACATCTTGTGCCAGAAAGAAAATGCCCAAAGAATGATGGGGATATATCAAAAGGACACAGGAGCCATTGTGAAGGGGTTCCTAGAGGCCAAATAAATAATGGTGGTTATAAATAACCCACTGAATAAAATAAAAATCCATGAATACATACTGATATAAATACTACATGAGTGTTGGGAGAGGCAATAAACCATGGACCCTAAGTGTCCCTATGCACTTTTGTTTAGTATGCCAGGCTCTGACTACTCTTTACCAGAGCCATTTCTCAGGATTGTATGCAGTGAGCCACCTTCAAGGATGAGGTAATGTCTTCCCAACCTCTGACAAAGAACAGGCTTGCTTCCACCTGCCATAAAAGTGGTGAATTCCCAAAGCTCAGTGCTCCTTCCCTAGAGCACAAACCACTGCATATGCAGGAATCTATCTAGGCCCACCTGCGTCATCCCAGGGGAATTGGAGGACTTGAGAAACGATGCAAACCAAATGAAGCTCATGCCATTTGCCATGCCATGAATAATAAAGTCCTTTGGCTCAGACCCAAGAGTCTTGTACCTCTGCCATCATCTAAGAAACAGTAACAGGCTAACTTATTAGCTTGCAAGTAGGGTACAATCCTAGACTTTCACAGTTCCTGACAATGAATAAATAAATAAATGGGGGAGAGGGAAAGCCCATCCTTACAGTGGAATATCAAATAATAAACGTAGAAGAAATGATGGAGTTAGAACATCATTAATGGATATTAAAACTAGTGGGTGAGCCCTAGCTGGTTTGGCTCAGTGGATAGAGCACTGGCCTACAGACTGAAAGGTCCTGGGTTCGATTCCAGTCAAGGGCACATGCCTGGGTTGCGGGCTCGATCCCCAGTAGGGGGCGTGCAGGAGGTAGCCAATCAATGATTCTCTCTCATCATTGATGTTTCTCTCTCTCCCTCTCCCTTCCTCTCTGAAACCAATTAAAAAAAAAATAAAAAATATATATATATAGAAAACCTAGCGGGTGAAATTAGGAAAAGGATACTTTCATAGTAGTCTAAAAGTAATCTCCCCACAAATTACTTACTAATTACAAAGGGAAAATAGGGACTTTACAGTTGAGAAATCTGGCAGACACCACCTTAGGCAAGTGGTCAAAGTTAACATAACCAACATTGGGACAAAGAGACATCATGGTTCTCTTGGTAGAATGTACTGAGAGAGACACAATTCTGTGGTATTCCCCCTAAAAATGTATGATCTGAACCTAATTATGAAGAAACATCAGACAAATCCAAAACAGACATTCTACAAAATGACTGGCCTATACTCCTCAAAAATATCAATCAAAAAGGAAAAGTTGAGAAATTGCTCTATATCAGTGATGGCGAACCTTTTGAGCTCGGCGTGTCAGCATTTTGAAAAACCCTAACTTAACTCTGGTGCTGTGTCACATATAGAAATTTTTTGATATTTGCAACCATAGTAAAACAAAGACTTATATTTTTGATATTTATTTTATATATTTAAATGCCATTTAACAAAGAAAAATCACCCAAAAAAATGAGTTCGTGTGTCACCTCTGACACGCGTGTCATAGGTTCGCCATCACTGCTCTAGATCAAAGGAGATTAAAGATACAGGACCACTGGATGATATGCATGATTCTGGATTGTATGATGAATCAGAATTTTAAAAAATAATTACAAAGGACATTTTTAGATAGATAAATTTGAGTATGAACTATGAGTTTGCCAATAATACCTAATCAATGTTAACATTCCTGACTTTGAGAAAGAACTGTTGTACACTGTTGGTGGGAATGTAAATTGGTATAACCATGACAGGAAACAGTATGTAGGTTCCTCAAAACATTAAAAACATAGCTCCTGTATGATTCAGCAACACCCCTTCTGGGTATATATCTAAAGGAAATATAATCAGGATCTCAAAGAGATATCTGCACTACCATGTTCACTGCAGCATGGTTTGCAATAGCCACGATATGAAAACAATTTAAGTGTCCATCTATGAATGGATAAGATGTAGTTTATATATATAATGAAATATTATTCAGAAATGAGAAAAAAGTAAATCCTGCCCCCCTGGTCGTTCCGGAAGGTCATCCCAGAAGGTCGTTCTGCTGTCTGGTCTAGTTAGCATATTAACTCTTTATTATATAGGATATTTGTGTGCAAACTTGTTTTATAAAAGGTATTAATAAAATGGTATATTTCTGAGAATACTCATGTACATCGAAAACATCAGGAAATGTTTCAATGGCACCCAAATCACATTATCAAAGATATCTGTCCCACTTTGAACTCACAGTTACGATATACTTTTACATGTCATAATATATAATCTTTAAGGTTCCTCATAACTCTGACATTTTAAGAATTTGTGATTAATGGAACAAAATTCCTTCATACTAGTAATTAATATGTACCCATGAAATAACTTATTATCAGAAACACTGAAAATTGCTGAATTCATTCACTGCTGAAAAGTTTGGCCTAAATATTTCTATTGAAAAGAAATACATTCAATTTGTATTTTCGACATGGCAATGATCCAGCCTTTATCCCACTGAAACACCTGCCAACCATGGCTTTAAAAATTTTAAAATAAAGTAGCAACTCCACCTTTAATAAATTCTTTATAAATGTTCTCCAATAAGTACACTAGAAAAAGAGTGTTTAAAGTGAACAATATCCAATGCCCCCAAAGTCCAAATCTCTGCTTCCACTGGATTCCCTAGTACTTGGATGTTATTGTTTTATACGATTAATCATATTTCGGTATGTTTCATCTTCTCTAATATACTTTAAACCACATAAAGGCAGAAGCATGTTATTCATAGTTTATTCCTATCAATAATCATTTTGTACTTGCACAGTAGGGGCTCAAAAAAAAACAAACCCTAAGAGATACCTACCATTTCTTAATAGTGATGAATTAATGTTAAACTCTTTCAAATTCTGAAATAAATTGAGTTTTTACATGGTTGAAATTATTGCTATGCTTTTTTAAAAGTCTCTACAATTCAGAGATGTTCTCAGTATCAGTAGCTGGTTATATTAATGTTTAAGCAATCGTATTTTTAGATAGATAAATATTGCAATAAATTTAGAATCTTTTGATTAGAGAAAGTAAACTTTAAGAATGTTACTTAAACGTAAGTTTAGATTTAAACAGTTATTTGAGAGAAAGATGATATGTTTTTGGAAAGCATTATTTATAATCATTAAGTCTTACCTGAGTATTCCAACCTGGATCTAATTTTTTAACTGCTGCAATATACTCCTGCATTGCTTGGCTCGGGCTGGAATCACCAAGTGCTTTCCATGCTTCCCTAGAATATCCCAAACAACCCATCATTAAGTATATAAGTAACACAAACAGCATGTTTCTTAAAAAATTGGCATACACATTTTACAGGTCTGGGGATACAGATATAATAAGCCATAGACGAGCCTCTCTTTTTGTATTTACTTTGGTCTACACCAGGGGTTCTCAACCTGTGGGTCGTGACCCCTTTGGGGTCGAATGACCCTTTCACAGGGGTCGCCTAAGACCATCAGAAAACACATATATAATTACATATTGTTTTTGTGATTAATCACTATGCTTTAATTATGTTCAATTTGTAACAATGAAAATACATCCTGCATATCAGATATTTACATTACGATTCATAACTAGCAAAATTACAGTTATGAAGTAGCAACGAAAATAATTTTATGGTTGGGGGTCACCACAACATGAGGAACTAACTGTATTAAAGGGTCGCGGCATTAGGAAGGTTGAGAACCACTGGTCTATACAGATCTTCTCACCACACCTAAGGAACCTTTATACAATTTTTTCTAATCACCTTCTCCCATGAAATCTTAGTAGTCCAGATATATTGCATATCTGTTGAATTTTGTAAGACCACAAACCATTGTAATATCTAAGATTTTATAACTACCCAAAACCAACTTTCACACCCCTGTTGAAAATGTCTGATCTGTATATAGACCAATACAAGTAGTTGCCATCTTATAACATAACTGTGCTTACATTTCGGTAACATGGAAACTAGTCATCATACAAAACAACATTCCCTGGAAAAATGCCTCAAACTTCTTATTTGAGATGTATATTTAAGCCCAGAGTAATATTTTCGTTTTCTTTTCTGCAAGCTGCCACAACAGGCTCCTTCTTGGTTTTTCCCTGCCGATTCTACTTCCACCAGGAAGTAAACCTACTGATCCACTGTGAACCAGAACTCAGACACACATTTTCTTAACCACCTTCCTGCTCCTCTGAGGAAGAGAATACCTTTCTGAGATTCCTAAATTTATTTTAACTGAATCTCTTGAGAGTTCCTTGTATATATCCTAACACTTTACTCATAAATATATCAGTATATATCAAACTGAGGAAATTTAACATCAATACAATAAAATTTCCCTGATTTGCCAATAATTTCCTTCATATCTTTCTTCTCCTAGACCAGGAGCCAATCAAGATTCATACACAGCATTGAGTTTCATGTATCTTTAGCCTTTTCTATCTTCCATGATATTGATATTTTTAAGAATCCCAACATGCTGTTTTATAAAATATCCCTCCATTTGGACTTAAATGATTGTCCCCTCACCAAAGAGTGTTCATAGCAAAAGCAATTAATCATGATTAGAATCAGGTTAAATATTTTGTCAAGAGCAATACATGGGTGACATGTCCTTCACAGTGCATTCCGTCAGAGGGCACGATATCAGATTGTCCCATCATCGGTGATAAGACTGAGGACTTGGTAAAAGCAGTATCTCCCATTTTCTTCTTTGTAATTAATAAGTAAATTGTGGGTAAGTATGAATAAAAATTGCTCCCCAATAGTTTTTCATCTCCTGGTTTTAGCATCCAATTTAGATTCTTGCCTGAATTATATTAGAGTGGTTGTAAAATCTAAACTTTGTAAAATTGTTTAAAAATTAAAACAGAGAAAAATAATGAAGTTATAAATTGTCATAAATTTTTTAAAAAGCACACCTCACAATTAAAAATTATGTCAGGTATTCTCTACAACAGTAATAAAGCGCAGTCGGAGAACTACTCGTTATCACCAGCAAAGAAACCTTGGGTCGGAATGAAAATCAAAGCATGTGTTCTTCACTGAGATGTCCTACAGTACACACACAAACAGGTCAGCAGAACCAAGCAGTGTGCTTGATGCCGTAACTCAGTGGTTCTCAACCTTCTGGCCCTTTAAATACAGTTCCTCATGTTGTGACCCAACCATAAAATTATTTTTGTTGCTACTTCATAACTGTAATGTTGCTACTGTTATGAATTGTAATGTAAATATCTGATATGCAGGATGGTCTTAGGCGACCCCTGTGAAAGGGTCGTTTGACAGCCAAAGGGGTTGCGACCCACAGGTTGAGAACCGCTGCCGTAACTGATTTACATTTGGCTTCAAGCTCGGCCTCTCCTAACGGCTGGGTAATGGACAGTTCAGACAGGCAACCTGTCCAGGAGACCACATTTTGAGCAGCACTGCTCTAGAAGGTAAAATTACAATTCATGTTTAGCACTTCTCTCTACAACCATATTTCATTTTTTTAAAAACCCTACCCTCTATACATTTAATTCCAGGGCTAATGCTTCAAAGTTCTTTCTGCTATAACTAAGGTTCCCTATTGTATGCAGTTCCTCTTTTTTCATTTAGGCAAGGTAAGAGGAAATAAGGCTTCATACGCTAAGAGGGAACCTCTGAATTACAAGCAAAAAAACTGGGAGGGTATAATCCTTTTACATATTCAGTAAAGAAGTGAATTAAGTAAGCATCTGGGTTTTTTTCCCCTTCTTCCCAAAAGGTTATGGTCAGCACTTCCTTCCTGTGTTGGGTGGGGCAAGGAACAGAAAAGCACTAGAGATGAGATAAAACAAGGTCGGGGAAAAGAGTAAGGACTGGGGATTCACCTGCTCTTCTCAGAGGAAGAAGTGGGGACTGTATGACAGGAAAGGGAAATCTCCAGCAATAGCTCACATGGTCACTCTCTAAGAAGCTATTCTTACGTAAGGAATGTATTTCTGCTGTAAACTACTTACATACCAACATTATGGCATATGAATCCTTTAGGAGACTTAGCTAAAATCGGATTCTTTTAATCTCTCTCTCAACTGCCTGCCCTTATCAGTCTACGGCAGGGAGATTAATATAAAAATAATTCTTTAATCTGCTCATCCATTTCTAATTCCTAAACACCTAAACCATTTCCAACAACCCCAATAGAGTCCAATAATTTCTTACCATTTTTGCTTTCCTTCAAAATCAAAGAAGCCTGGTTTCGGAGTATTGCAATTTCCAACTTTGACCTAAATGAAGAGGGAGAAAATCAAGAACTTATTTTTCAAAGAAATGCCAGAGAAACTTTTTTATTTTCAAAGCTATTATGTGTACTTAGTAACTACTGGTTAGAAAATATTTGCACCTGTATAGGATAACAAAATTTAACATTTTTTGCAAAAGCAAACAAAAAAACTTTAAATATAGGCTGGTTTTGCTTACTGCATAAAACAATTTATCTAATACTATAATACATTTAAAAATCTGGATGAAAGCCCTAGCTGGTTGGCTCAGTGGATAGAGCATCAGCCTGCAGACTGAAGGGTACTGGGTTCAATTCCGGTCAAGGGCACATGCCTGGGTTGCAGGCTCAATCCCCAGTAGGGGGCATGCAGAGGCAGCCAATCTATTCTCTTTCATCATTGATGTTTTTCTCTCTCTCTCTCCCCCTTCCTCTCTGAAATCAATAAAAATATATTTTTAAAAATATGGGTGAAAAACAGTTACATTCCTGTTAATAGACAAATTATATATGACAAATTATAAATATAGATTATGCAATCCTAATTACTACTTATAATACAGAACAATTTTAAAGTTTGCAATAAACAAACTTTAAAGTACAATTATCACAATTCATAATATTGTTCATTTATACTGATGCTCATAACACTATAACATTTTATCTCTCCCAAATTCCAGGATAAAACACAGTATTTTTAAAGTGCCCTATTATGAAACTAATCAATATAAATTTATTTTGGAGGCTGTGCAAAAAATTTCAAGGGTTTCTCAACAATATAAATTCTATCTATTCCATAATAATCTTTTCTGTTTGTGGTCAATACTTACTTTTAATCCAATTAAACTATACAGTAATTAGCTTCATTGTGAATAAACATAAATGAAATTCACACAAGTGCAGAATTCACTATCCGGCCCCTGATTCCTACCGCCAGAAGTGATCTCCCTTTCTGATAAACTCTCATAGCACTTATTCTGTATGATACAATCTATGACAGTATTTTTCGCTTTTTGTTAGAAAGTTTTGTGTAAAGTCTCATCCTTCTATTAGAATACAGCCTGCAAGAAACCCAGGCACAGGGGACTGAATGTGTGTAAGTGATTTAACTCAATCATTGCACCTAATATAGTGCCTAACTTAAGGTAAACATGCTTGTTGACTATAGAATGAATAGTATTAAGCAGGTGTTCAACAAAACACCTACTTTCCCTAATGCTAAATATCCAATCTGATCCCAATCCACTTCTCAGGGATCTTCTCACTAACTCCTATTACTCTTCTACACTTGAATTTTGCTAAAATCAAAATGATGGTCTACTTGCTAACCAGACTGCTAACTCACTGCGCCCTATGGATTTTTATTGAGTTTTGCTCAATGTAGTAATTCCCCTCACCACAAATGCCTTCCCTGAGCTTTCCAAAATGCTACACCTCCTACTCAAGGTTCAGATTCTAAGAACACTTTCAGTCCACAATGATCCCATCCATCTCTGAAATCATAACAATTATCATCCCTATCATTTGCTTAGCAATTTGTCACAATCTGATTATTAAAATGTACACTTACACAGCAGCAGCCGTTATGAAGGGACACAGGTGAGAGAGAAGCAGCTGCATTTGGTGTGTGAAAGCTCCACCCATGTTATATCAAACAAGCCACACAACAATCCCTTTAGGTTTGCCATTACAAACACCTTTTATAAATGAGCACAGAGCAGCTGAGGAGGGTTGTTTCGGTTTACACATTAGTAAATCCTAATCAGTAGTCAGAGTTTGAATCCAGGACTGTTTGACTCCACAGTCCAATACAGTGGGGCCTTGACTTACGAGTTTAATTCGGTCCGAGACTGAGCTCGTTAAGGAGCTCGTTAACTCAAATTACTCTATCAACTCAATGCAAAAAATCGGCGGAGAGACAACTGGTATCTCAAAAAACTCGTTAGTCGGGACACTCGTAAGTCAAGGCCCCACTGTATTCCTTTACTGTAACATTGTTATATATGTTACACAGAATCTAGGCTTCAGTTCTGGCATCTCTAAAATCACCTGAACTACTGAAATGATAGAAATATGAAATGAGATGAACTATTGGACATTATAAGGATAGTTATTATTATTATTGTTGTTTTTAACCAGACATCAGCCAGAGGCAGAAACAAAGGCTAAATCTATTCTCCATTTCTCCAACATTAATACAAGTCTCAGCCAGACACGTGGTCATCCATATAGCCATGCAACTCTTGCCCAGGCACAGGGAACTGAATGTGTGTAAAAATTATATAAATATCTTTCTTAAAAAAGAAAAAAAGGCTTGTCCTTCCCTTTCCCTTTGCCCGGGCTAAATCATGCATGTGCTGATGGTGAGCTATCTCGGGCCATGGACAGAGGATCTTAGGGCAGCAGTTCTCAAACTTTTCGATCTCATGATCCCTTTACACTCTTAGAAACTGAGGATCCCAAAGAGCTTTTGTTTATGTGGGTTATAGCTACTGATATTTAGAAGATCCCCGAGAAGTGGACTGGGGTCAGATTGGATATTTAGCATTAGGGAAAGTAGGTGTTTTGTTGAACACCTGCTTAAAACACATTTAAAAAATATGTATTAATTCACTTAAAAATAATAAACCCATATGTTAACATAACAAAATTTTATAAAAAATAACCATCAGTATAAAGCAAAAAAAAATTTAATAAAAAAGGTGACACTGTTTTACATTCTGCAAATCTCTTTAATGTCTGCCTTAATATATTCTCAAAAATCTACTTCTGCATTCAATATACTGCAACATGTTGCTTTCGTTGATGTATATGAAGAAAATTCAGCTTCCCACAGATATGCTCCTAGAAAAGAAAGGTATTTTAGCAGCATTTTCAGATAATTGTGAATATTCTTCTTTGATGCCACACCAAAACTCAGTGACAGTTTCTTTAAGGTTAGTTGCAATCTGGAATCTGAAGTCATATGAATGAATTTTTCAGTTACATTAAAATCCATTGTTCTGACTTGCACTTTGAAAGGTTTTTATATTCACACATAACTTGTAACATTACTCCATGCAATATTTAGGAAACATGGTTACTAAGTTATGCAGACCTTCCAAATGTTGACACATTTCCCTATACAACAGCAAAAGTTCACAATCATTAAAATCACCACTAATATCATAAAAGTGTTTCAGTATTAGGAAGCTGTCAAGCTCCTGTGGCAGATTTTCCAAATTCCTAATTTTCACTTGAAGGCTCAAATGTTCGCATTGGCAACAAATACTGTCAGTTGTTTTCCATAAAGTGATAGGCTCACTTGAATCATTTTCAAGAAACTTTTTGCTAAATCAGTGGTTCTCAACCTTGGCTGCACATTAGAATCACCTGGGAATCTTTTTAAAATCCTGATTTCTGGGCCTCATCCTCCGGAAATTGTTTCTTTGTTACTAATGTTGTGGCCCCACCCCATAACAAAGAAACAGAATTTCCAGAGGATGAGGCCCAGAAATCAGGATTTTAAAAAGATTCCCTGCCCTAGCCGGCTTGGCTCAGTGGATAGAGCGGCTTGGCTCAGTGGATAGAGCATCGGCCTGAAGACTGAAGGGTCCCAGGTTCGATTCCGGCCGAGGGCACATGCCTGGGTTTCCGGCTCGTTCCCCAGTAGGGGGTGTGCAGGAGGCAGCCAATCAGTGATTCTCTCTCATCACTGATGTTTCTGTCTCTCTCTCCTTCTCCCTTCCTCTCTGAAATCAATAAAGAAATATATTTTTTTTAAAAAAGAAAAGATTCCCAGGTGATTCTAATGTGCAGTCAAGGCTGAGAACCACTGTGCTAAATGCTCACATCTGAATAAGCATAGTTTATCTGTGAGTTGTTCTATTAAGTAAAAGTGATGTTTAATTAAAAAGTGGATAGCTCAGTTTGCAACTCAAAAATTACATAAGTGGTTTTCCTCGAAATAGCCAACATAATTCAGTCTGCAGCAAGAGAGCTTTGTGTGTACCCCCTTTCATCATACACGATATTAAAGAGACTTATGCTCAAGTTCATATTTAATAAAAACCAATAATTTTTACTGCTTCAACAAAGACATTTTTAAGTGAAACTGGCTTTTTTTTTTTTACTCTGAGTGCATGGTGGCAAAGAAATATGACTACTAGTACTATTTACTGCCAGTGTCTTCATTCATTCTAATGCATCAGCAGTTTTATCCACCATGACAGCACAGAAAAAAGGCAAAGAGTGTCTTAGTATTATTATGAAAATAGTATGATCTTACAGATCCCCTGAGAAAATCTCAGGCATTCTCTGGGGTCTACAGACCATAATTTGAGAACTGCTGCCTTGGGGAATGGCTGAGCTACAAGATAGAAAAAGACCAAGCCCCTGGACGATCGCATGAGGCAGAACCACCCTACCAGTCCTAGATCAACTACCTCCAGACCATTATGTGAGCTGAAAAGAAAAGTCCAGCAGCTGCCCTGTATCCCAACTGACACAGAGCTTTTGTATCCCAAAATTCAGTTCTGGATCCAGAAAAGACTGAGAAAATAAAACTATAGGATTTTAGGACACCATGAGCAGCAGTTTCCAAATCATTAGATAATGAATCATAAACTATAGAGTTATAAAACATACCACTTTAACAGAGCATCTAAACCAGGGGTCCTCAAACCCGTGGGCCACATGCAAATACAAATATTGTATTTGTTCCCGTTTTGTTTTTTTACTTCAAAATAAGATATGTGCAGTGTGCATAGGAATTTGTTCATAGTTTTTTTTTTAAACTATAGTCCGGCCCTCCAACGGTCTGAGGGACAATGAACTGGCCCCCTGTTTAAAAAGTTTGAGGACCCCTGAATTCTAAACTGTTTTCTCTGATATATATAACATATCCAGTGCCCTTGAAACAGAATATTTCAACAAAGGTTGCCAATGGTGAATGCCAATGAATCAAGTGTACCCAGGTTAAAGTAGGAGGACATGAGTAGTCTAACTTGTGCTAGTGCTGAAGGCTCCTGAACAATGAAGCCAAAAGGAATTAGAAATTTTTATTGTCCTATTGTTTTTATAGGTGTCAATTAGTTATCTTTTGCTGGGAGAATGTAGGCTAGTGCACACACAAAAAACCCAAAACACCCTGTTAATTGGTGTGACCTTTTGGAAATGTCACTAAAAGATGATTTTGGAGCCATAAGTGTATTTGAAACTATAAGAGCTATTAGGTAAGTTTAAAGCTATACCTGAGAAAAAAAAGTTCATATCTTTGCTCATTTTTATTACCTTCCTGCTGACAACCTTACCTCATTCAGCCCAAAGTACAAAATGTAAGTATTTTACGAGAAATTTTCCACCATGCAGAATTATACTGTAGACTTTCAACTTTATTATTCTATCAAAGATGCTACTTTTAACAGTCTCAGAATTCTGTTAAAAATAAGTTATTTAGAGGATATTGAGGAAAACTGTATCCCAATGTCATATCTAAGTAAGCATAATCTTATTCTCTAATAATGAAGGATTTTATTTTCCAGATACAGAATATCTCTAGACACCCTAACATCAAGCTCTTGAAAGGGCGAGGGACACGCCTCTTCCAGACTATCTGGATGAAGTGAGCACACCTGAGACAGGTGACTGCAGCTCACTGATGACTTAGAAATCAAATCTTCAATAATGATGACACTAATATCAATAATAAAGGTATGTCCTAGAAAGAATGTTCTCTAGGGAATTTGGAGAAAATGAGTCTTATACTGCCCAGAGAATCATCAGTTATACATATTACATACAATCCTAGCACAATATTCAATAAATTCTTGTTAAATAATCGGAAGTCTCCTTTTAATGTTACTTTAATGTAAGTGACCAAAGAGAAAATAGATATCCAGAACTTTTTACAAGAAAGAAAATTCCAAGGCCAATTCAGGGGCAATTTTCATTCAACACTATGATTTATACCACCTGTGTCTACAATTGTATCTCTCAGGTCAATTTAACTAATATTCATCAGTCTTCAAAAAAAAAGGCTCATCTCTATTCAGTATATTCAGCTGAAGAATATAGAGGGACCCCACCAGGTATTTAAAAAAAAATACAGGGAAAAATAGATACCAAGAGGCAAAGGACAAGTTTTTAAAACTTTAATAAAATAAAATGGGCTATTACCGAGCACTTCATTGCTTCCAGTGTTCTAAAAAACTGGAGTTTTCCTGAATTGTTATTCAATGCTTGTCAGCAAGTTTAAACCTAGACTCAAGTAAATTAGTAAGTCTCTTAAAGGTAAGTAGCACGATGCTCTTGCTTCTTTGCATTCCCTGTAGGCATAATACCCAGGTGTTTTGCACATAAAGATGCTAAGTATTTGTGGATTATGATAAAGCAATTATTTTTTCCTTCTGGTACCTAACTCAATATCTCTTTGAATGACATATTAAAAATGTCTGAAGTGATATTATTTTTATTTCCAAATAAAGTTCAGAGTCTTAGGATCAGGCGCTACAAGCTAGTTCTAGTTCTGACTGACTTATAGGCAAGTTACCTACTCTCTTAGCATATGCAGCCAAAACATGTCTACTGCATTTAGGGTTTTAAAAAAATCACAATAATAGGAAGTAATAACACGTTGTTTTGTATTGCATTGCCCTTTTTATTACAATCATATTCTTCTCTAGGATCTCACAATATGTTTTTTTAACCTTACAGCCATATGACCCTTTGGCAAGAGTGACTGACAAATCTGATTTTGTCATCCTCATTCTGTAACGGTTCTAAAGCTGGCAAAAGCTTAAGTGCAGCAAAGTCATTGAGCAAGTCAAGGAAGACATAGGAAAACTGTTAGTGTCCCGCTAAACATCACTCCCAGGAGAGCAGACAGGTCCTTTCCATGTCCGTAACGATGCTAATCTTTAAGGGATGATGAAAAAACAAACAACACACACACACACACACACACACACACACACACACTTCATTGCTAGCCATTTACCAAGCTTGCTTGCTATTAGTTTTTGTTGGAAAGGGAAGGCCTCTCGTCGCTCTCCCGCATCCTCCCCTTCGCCGCGATTTTACCTGCTTGTACCTGGCGTACAGGTACAGGAGCTGCTCCCTGCTGGCCACGTGAACCACGCTCTGCAGGTGCGCGGCCGCCTCCTCAAACAGCTCGGCCAGGCTCCGCGACGCCCCGCTCTCGGGGCTCGGGACGGACTCCACGTCACCGGAGTCGTCCCCCGAGCTCAGCTCTCCGCCGCTGTCGCCCGTGGTGGTCCCCGCGGACAGGAATGGAGAGGCCATGTGTCCGCTCGGTCCTCTCTCGGTCGGGAGTCACGCCCGGCTCGGGGGGCCTGGCCGCCCAGTCCGCGTCCGGAGCCCGCGCTGGCGTCGGACCCCAGCTCACTTCCTCCGCGCTCCCGCCCCTCACTCTGCCTCCTTCCCCTTCTCTCCCGGGGCGTTCGGGGCAGGTTCCGCCACTCTCAGGAAGCTCTCCCCTGCAGACCCCGTCTCCTCCCGCTTCCCGGGACTAACTGTGGGCTGGGGCGGCTGGGGCCCCTCCAGCCGCACGGGGGCCCGGGAGCAGCGCAGCCGGCCGGTCCTGAAGTGGAGGCGGCGTGCGGCGGGGGCGGGGGCGGGGGCGGGGCGACGTGAGCGCGGGCGGCGTGCACGCTGAGCACGCGCACGAGCACGCGCCCGGCTACGCTCGGCGCCGCTGGGGGTCACGTGCGTGGCTCCAGGCTCGGCGCCGCCCACTCTAGGGGGCTCGCGGGACCGCGTTGGGGAGATGCCGCTTGGGAAAATTGTCTTTAGTCATTTAGCTGAAGTTAGTCGCAAACTCCGGAACCTACTCAGAATAGGCCAGCGTGGGTAGGGGAAGGAGGCCTTCCGTTTGGTAGTGTAGCCATAGGGGCGGCGTCGCGGGAAACAGAGGTGAGGACTAAGGTTCCGCCCGCGCGCCCGCCTCATCCCTGCATCGGTTGTTGTCGGAGAGTTTGGCTTGAAGAAATAAAATGGAGCGCCTAGACTAGAGTCAAGCTGCTAAACTACCGAAATCAAGTAGGCTGCGTTATGGGGAAAGGATTCTGTTGTTTTTAACTGGCCTGCAAACGGAAACTTTGGAGCTTCCCAGTCCTGCGAAAACGCCTGCATACACATCAGACTCGCAGATACACGTCTGATAACGCCCTGGAGAGCAAACGAAAGAAGGTTCCAGGGTCACCCTCTGGAACCAAGCCAGAGGCTAAGAATGCAGGGCTGATTCTTCTCAAAAATGTACTTTTTACTGTAAGAACCCTCAGCTTTCCTGTTTTCTTCCGCCCAGGTGTATTGCTGGTTGAAACCTTGAATAAATCTTTATATTTTCTATCTAGCCAAAGCCTCCTCATTTCATTTACACTTAGCCGACAGGCTCTCACTTGAGCAATGAATGGAAAGTTGGGAGATGGAGCCTTCGCTGGCCCACGCTGTGTAGGTGATGGGTTGAGTCAGCTCCTCTCTTTGTCTCCATTGCGTGTCTGCAGAGCCCCCCCAGCTCTCAGAACCCCTCAGCACTTTGCCACTGTGCTTTGCAGATACTGTAAAGTGAAACAAAAAATAAAGTAAAATAGAGTTCTGTCCTAAAGGAACTTACAAAACTACAAAAGCTATAACATGATTATAATAGTTAACATTACTGAGTAGTTATTATGTCCTAAAACACACACACACACTATATTCCTTTAGTACACAGAACACTGTAATAAGCACCATCAGAATGGTACAGAGAAAGTGCCCCAACGACTGGTTATCCTTTGGGGTTAGGCTTTAGACAGGTGGGCAAGGGGGAAGGGTAGACAGGATGAGAGAACAATGAGAAAAGGCAGGCAGATGAGAAAGTTTGGATCAGGATTCAACAAACATTGCTTAAGTATTGTCCAAGTTCATTAAATACACACACGAGTAAAACCAATGAATCACGTAAGCAATAATCAATAAAAGTTTATTATGCACCCACCAAAAAGACAGTTTTCAAACCTGGAGCTCTCAAACACAGTGAGATTCAGAGGCTTCTATATATATAAAAGCCTAAGCGACCGACCGTTCAACCCTTTGACTGGTAGCTATGACACACACTGACCACCAGGGGCAGATGCTCAATGCACAGGCATGGAAACATGGGACAGACTGATGAATCTCAGAGGGAAGGGGGGAGGGCAGGAAGAGATTAACCAAAGATCTCATATGCATACTAGAGGCCCAGTGCACCCATGGGGTCCCTCGGTCTGGCCTGCAGGAATTGGGCCGAAACTGGCAGCCTGACATCGCCTGAGGGGTCCCAGATTTCGAGAGGGTGCAGGCCAGGGCCAGGGACCCCACCGGTGCATGAATCCAAGCACCAGGCCTCTAGTATTGTTATAAATTAGTCTACATAGTGTGGAGGCAGCAACTGCTTATTTGTCACAGTGATTGGTCATAATTAAAATTTTCTTAAATGAAAGAAAATTGCTTAGTGGCTACCTCATCAATTTGGGGGAACAATTTAAGTTTTGCTTATGATTTTCAAAGGTGTAAGCAAAGAGTGAATCAGGTCAAGTTAGCTTCATTTGCCTTGCAAAATAAGCTAAATTAGCTTTTCTTGTATGACTAAACTGGTTTTGTCTGCTCAGGGAATTTTCAAGTCTGGTCTCCATTTGAGGTTGATTTTAACCGTATCCAGGTGTACCACTCTTAGTCCCTGTCCTCAAGGCACTCACAATCCAGTCTAGGAATGACTGATGAACAAATTCTTGCAATTAAAAAGTGATAACTTACTGAATCCTCTACTGTTTAGGGGACTTCATTCCTACTACTTTAGCTAAGTAGAGTCATTTCCACTTAGATGTAGGAAATCAGCACAGAATGGTAAAGTAACTTGCCCAAGGCTGCACAACTAATGAGAGAGGCTAATAAGAGAAGTTAATAAGTAGAAAAAACCAATAAGAGAAGCTTCTGATATTCAGAAGCTGCCCTGGCACTCACAGCTAAGCCATGTTATTCTCCTATCAGATGGAAATAATTTCATGAAATACCAAGTTCAAACAAGGCCATTCTGAAAACATGCAGATCGATATGCACTCTCACGTCGGTGTTTCTCTCTCCCTTCCTCTCTCTCTAAAAATAAATAAACTAGTCTTTAAAAAAAATAATAAGACAAAACAGAGCACTCCACAAGTTTGCCTAAGCACAGACAAAAACAAAATCACTCTGCCAACCATAAAATACCAAACAACCCTTATCTTGGCCAAAATGGGTGATTACTACCTCTTTACTATTCCAGGTTTATTCTCCTCCTGGACTTCTCTCCCTATAGATAAGATTTATTAAGATGCCCAATCATAGTGTTGTCTCAGCTTTCTGACAGCATCCAATCAAGAGCAAATCCCCTTTGTCACCAACCAAAGCCCAAATCCTATAACGGCTTCCTTCTGAGCACCTTCTTACTCTGACCGCCCATGGTTCCCCATGGTGTGTTCTTCCTCACTGCAACAAGTCATAAGTACAACTTGGTTTACTACAGGTGCCTTCCTGGGGGTCTCCAGTGGGGGGGGGGGGGAAGGGGGGGAAGAGGGGGCATTGACACTTAAGAACCTTTGACTTCTTGAAGATTCAATTAAAACTCCAAAACTATCAGGATCGGGTGACTTTGAGGAAATAGATCTCTTACAATTAGTGTTCCCATTGAAGCATTTCTTGGGAACTGTGGGGAATTGTATATGTTTTTCTGAATCTCAGGAAAAATCACCCAAGAAATCAGAAAGGAGAAAGTATTACCATTCTGCTGGAATTAAAGTTTAACAATCAACCTAGAGGGGTTACAACGCAAAGGGATCCACTAACAAATTGAAAGCAATAGCAGGAAATGATAACACTTGGGAGTCCAAAGTGAGCCAGGGGAGAGAGCAGGCAGGAGAAAAGCGGTCAGGTTCTCATCAGTCTTACTTCTAAGGGTTGCCAGGTTGCATGTATGTTCAGAGCCCCATCTGCTGCTACCAGTGAGTCATTCCTGCAAATAAAATAAATATTATATGTATAGTATACTTTATATAAATTCCAGGAGTGATGTTCTGAGAAATAAGTTTTGGAGACAAAACAAGTCCTTAAACTGGCAATTTCTGTAAGTGATTCTGCATAGTGCTGTTCAAATTTGCTGAGCGATCTGAATGTTAGGTTACAAAGACTACTTACTATCCATAATGTTTGCCAGCATTTCCAATGCTTATATTCACTATCGGCTACAGTTCTTTGTAAATACTTTAACAGGAGACGTGGGAAGAGAAGAAGCTGTGAATGGCCATGTGAAATACTCCAACACAACATCCTGAACTAACCTGAAATCTGGATGAACAAAAGATGTATCTGTTTCGGTGCAAAACCAAGTTTGGGCAAGCAGAGAAAATATTTTCATTGAAAACTAACTGGACTGGATTTAGTATGATTCTGGGTTTGTGAATTATTGACACTTTTTACATTATGATCAAAATAGTCATTAATTTATCAATACTATGTTGATTCCTAATGTTTCAGACACAGTGATAAGCCCTAAGGGTAGCAGGATGAACAAGATTTTTCTTCCTCTCTCTCCCTCTACTCCAACCACGTGGGCCTCCTTATGGTTCTACAAACCAGGCACAATCCAGGACACTCCTGTCTTAGTGCCTTTACACTTGCTAGCCCCTCTTTCTGGAACACCCTATCCTCAGATATTTACATGGTTTATCCTCAACTCCGTCACGTCTTGCTCAAATATGACATTAGTCAAATCTCCTTTGGCTGCCCTATTAAAAATTGCAACCTCATCCTCACTAACACTGTCTATCCCACTTCTTTTTTTAATTTTTTTTAATTTTATTGATTTTTTACAGAGAGGAAAGGAGAGGGATAGAGAGCTAGAAACATTGATGAGAGAGAAACATCGATCAGCTGCCTCCTGCACACCCCCTACTGGGGATGTACCCACAACCAAGGTACATGCCCTTGACCGGAATCGAACCCGGGACCATTCAGTCCGCAGGCCGACGCTCTATCCACTGAGCCAAACCGGTCAGGGCTATCCCACTTCTTTAACATTTATCTCCACCTAACTACAATACATTTTACTCATTTACTATGTGATTTTTATAAGTTCCGTGAAGGCAGAGATTTTTGCCTGTTTTCAGCATTGCTGTATCCCCCAGACCTGACACATAGCTAAATCTTTACTGAATCAATAAATGGGTGAATGTATATAAAAGACACAGTAATCGTTCTTTAAGGGCTTACAAATGGAAAATGAATATTGGCAATAAAATATAACAAGTGAAGTGGAAAAGGCACACCAGACAGAAGAAGTAGCATGGGCAAAGAAAGGCACAATGGTATAAAAATAGCAAGCGATGTTGTTGGTTGTCACTTAACAATAAGAAAGATTCAATAAGCAAACAGCAGAAATATAGTTAGCTGTTTTTCTCTCTCACCCAGCATAAACTAAAAATTGGAATATATGTAACCTTCCCCTAAGAGGAAAAACCTTGTTTGACAAAGACGGCATTCTTTTTGCAGATATTAAAAGAATAACGTTCTTATAGGTCAGTGACTTATTTTGTCACTAAATCAAATTGACAGTATTTAT